GAAAAGCATTAATTCTGTTCTGAGTGATGCATATGCAGAGAAGGTTGGAAGGAATCGCAAAGCTCTACTTTCCATTATTGATGTTGTCATTAATCTGTCAAAGAGGAACATAGCACTGCGTGGTAACTGGACAGGAGAAAGTGAAGATGGCAACTTTAATCATTTCCTCACCTGGAAGTCTGCATTTGATCCCACACTGAAACATCACCTTGAGACAGCAGCCAAAAATGCCAAATACATTTGTCCAGCGATTCAGAATGAATTAATTGCATGTTGTGAATCTGAGATTCGGGAGGACATTGTCAAAGAAATTAAAAAAGCCAGGTTTTTCACAGTCCTTGCAGATGAATCAATGGATGTGAGCGGGATAGAACAGCTGTCTATCTGCATTCGCTACATTAACCATGTTAATGGAGCCGAAATATGTGAGGAGTTCTTGGGTTTCTGTCCTCTTGCCAAACAAGATGCTGCTTCAATTACAGAAGCAATTCTCTCTCAGTTGGAGAAGTGGGGTCTCGAGATTGACTATCTCAGAGGACAGTGTTATGATGGCTCCAGCGCAATGAGTGGGCATGTGAGTGGAGTACAGCAACGCATGAAAGAGCTTCAACCCCGGGCCCTTTTCACACATTGTCGAAGCCATGCACTCAATCTTGTGGTAGTCCATGGATGTTCTGACATCCCCCTTGTTAGGAACACCATGGCTACCATTGAGAATATAGCAGTGTTTTTCTCAGCATCTGCTGTCAGAAAATACATGTTACAAGAAGAACCAACAGGAAGCATGGAAACACTCAAGTGTCAAAAGGAAAACAGGAGGTATACCACTCATGTCGGACACACGCTGGGGCTCCAGAGGGAAGACGGTGGGTTCCTGGATCACTTCAAATCAGCCCACTCTGCACTCACAGATTTGGAATCAAGAACATCATCAAACGCAAACAAGGCTAACAACCTACGACACAGTATGGAGTCCTTTGACACAATTGTCACGGCTGTCACAACTCACAAAATTCTAGGCTACATCCAGCCGTTGACGAAAGGGTTACAGTCACCTAATATTGACCTTATAACCGCATACACAGAGGCCAGAGAGGTGGCTCAGGTCATTTCTACTCTAAGGAATGAGGAAGGATTCTGTGATATTTATGCACAGTCAATAGAACTGGCCAGCTCCATAGATGTGGTTCCATCAAAAAAGCGAGTTACCAATAGGCAGCAAAACAGAGCGAACACACCCTCACAGTCAATCGAAGAACACTACAGACTCAATCTGTTCTATCCTTTTATTGACCATGTGACAAGCCAACTGAACACCAGGTTTGTGGAAAACTCTGAGCCAGCCATGCTTGCTACATACCTGATTCCTTCAGCTTTGTCCAGACTCACAAAAGACAAGCAAGAAATGATGGTGTCATGGTACAGAGAAGACCTACCTCAGCCAGACTCCATTGACCAGGAGATTCACAGATGGAAGGTAAAGAACCAACCTCCAACACTCCTGGTATTGACGGCAAAAGACACATTGAATATTATAAATGTTCAATACTACCCCAACATCCACTGTATCCTCTCCATCTACCTCACACTTCCAGTGACCACATGTTCATGTGAGAGGTCATTCTCTGCCTTGAGGCGGCTGAAGACCTGGCTGCGATCCAGCATTGGTAATGACAGGCTATCAGGACTTGCAATGATGCATGTGCATAGGAACAGAGCACTGGATCCTGAAAAAGTCCTCAAACGCTGGGATGCCTCTGGACACAGGCGTATAGTTTTGGCATTTGATAGAAAATGAGATGACATGATAATGGTTAAAAATGTGGCACTTCAAGAAGACTTAATTAAACCCAAAACATTGTCCTCTCTTCAAATGATGCCACTGCCCTCACCATGAGAAAATGAACGTGCAAAACACAAAAACATACAATATTGATGTAAATAGTTTCTTAAATAATTTTGTTTACTTGAACAATTGAATTAAACATTGGAAAATTAATGTTGACAATGTTTTGTGATCATTTTAGCCTCTTCTGCATGTCCAGATCATTAATAGTAACAATCAACTGATTCTTATGCATTACACTTTCAAAAATAATGTATATTGCAGCCCACTGACTTGGTTTGAAATCAATATATTATCCACAGGACTTAAAAAGCACCTAACTAGATCATGAAAATCCCAAAAATCTCGGGGGGAATAACCCCCCCAGAAGGTTTGGACCTCGGTATTTAGGAAATCCTGGATACGGCCCTGGTCCTATGTGTTAATATGTATATGTTACACTTGCATGTATGAGATCATTAAGTGCCTTGTAACTTATTTTTTTATAGTTTCACTCCGTTTGAATGTCAGTGGACTGCAAATAAGTCAATAAAGGAGCATGGCTGCTCATTCCCTGGCTCTCAAAAATAGTTACCGCGGTGATTTTAGTTTTAGGTTGGATATTTATGGGCATAGATATGTCTCATAATTATTTGTGTGAACATAAAAATAATTTGTGTGTAAATATGTGATTTGTAAATGTAAAACAACATCCACAAATGCATTTAAAAGATTTGCAAACTCACAAATACATTTGCAAGTGTAAAACGGATCTGCAAATACGCTAAATATGTTCACAAATAAAAAAAAAGATCTGTGAATATCTCTTTAACATTTACACCTTTCGATCAGGCATTTGTGAATCCATTTTGTATTTGTGGACCAAAAATGCGCTTGCGGATCTCAAATCTCTGTTCACGGATCTCAAATCTCTGCTTCTGGATCGTCTTTTTACACACACAGAATTTTGAGACATATTTTCCGCTGGTCTCGGCTAAAATCTACTCGTGTCACTCGGTTATTTTCGGAAACCACGTGATGGCCTGCTGATGACGACATTTCCGCATGATTTCAAAGTAAGAGCATGATGGTTTGTTTAATGCTCTGTTTTTGTATTATAATGAACAGCGGAACGTTAGATGCATTCTTCATCACCATCACCATCATCATCATGTTATAGTGATACAGTTAGTTTGTGTTATTGGTTCAATATAGCATATATCGAGCACTTTCGTTGATGTTGAAGTGCAGGCTATACGCCACTTTCGGGTCCCGGGGGGAGCAGCTGGCAGCGAAACAGCCCAGATAAAACTCTTCATTGTTTGTTGTGTATTCAGTCAAGCGGGTCGAAGTTACAAAGCACTTCACATCTTATTAATCGGCCTAATTTTACCTTACCAGTGCAGTAATAAAGTAATCTGTAGAAAAGCACCGTATTTAGGTCAGGGTTATGGTGATAAAGAATGCATCTAACGTTCCGCTGTTCATTATAATACAAAAACAGAGCATTAAACAAACCATCATGCTCTTACTTTGAAATCATGCGGAAATGTCGTCATCAGCAGGCCATCACGTGGTTTCCGAAAATAACCGAGTGACACGAGTAGATTTTAGCCGAGACCGGCGGAAAATATGTCTCAAAATTCCGTGTGTGTAAAAAGACGATCCGCGAACAGAGATTTGAGATCCGTGAACAGAGATTTGAGATCCGCAAGCGCATTTTTGGTCCACAAATACAAAATGGATTCACAAATGCCTGATCGAAAGGTGTAAATGTTAAAGAGATATTCACAGATCTTTTTTTAATTTGTGAACATATTTAGCGTATTTGCATATCCGTTTTACACTTGCAAATGTATTTGTGAGTTTGCAAATCTTTTAAATGCATTTGTGGATGTTGTTTTACATTTACAAATCACATATTTACACACAAATTATTTTTATGTTCACACACATAATTATGAGACATATCTATGCCCATAGATATTCGACGGACATTCGCGGACCCGCCAGCAGCGTCAGTTTCCCGGACCCGCCAGCAGCGTCAGTTTAACGGGGAGATCTTCTCCGCGAAACGAGGCTTTCACTTAGGGACCATCAACAAATGACTTTTACAATTAGACAAGAAAAATGTTCTTTTTAATAAATCGACAGCTTCTCGATCGTGTGAATGTGAAGCAAATTCACTCTAGAGCATACATTTATTGAACACGCCTCTTTTTATTGCATTTTAATACTTTAAATACGTTTTATTAATATTTTTGATGGAAACATTTGCTTATTTCTTCAATACCTTCCAGGTCATGTGACCTAATCACTCAAAATCAGTGCTGGGTCAAATAACTGCACGGACTGCATAGGACACACCTCTTTTTATTGCATTTTAATATTTTAAATATTTTATATTAATAATTTGATGGAAAAATTAGCTTATTTCTTCAATACCTTCCAGGTCATGTGACCGATTTACTCAAAATTAATGTCGGGTCAAAGAACTACACTGGCTGCATAGGACACACCTCTTTTTATTGCATTTTAATAATCTAAATATTTTATATGAATATTTTTGATGGAAACATTTGCTTATTTCTTCAATACCTTCCAGGTCATGTGACCTAATCACTCAAAATCAGTGCTGGATCAAAGAACTACACTAGCTGAATAGGACACACCTCTTTTTATTGCATATTAACACTCTAAATATTTTTATATTAATAATTTGATGGAAAAATTAGCTTATTTCTTCAATACCTTCCAGGTCATGTGACCGATTCACTCAAAATCAATGCTGGGTCAAAGGACTACACTGGCTGCATAGGACACACCTCTTTGTATTGCATTTTAATACTTTATATATTTTATATTAATAATTTGATGGACAAATCTGCCAATTTCTTCAATACCTTCCAGGTCATGTGACCTAATCACTCAAAATCAGTGCTGGGTCAAATAACTACACTGGCTAAATAGGACTCACCTCTTTTTATTGCATTTTAAAACTTTAAATATTTTATATTAATTATTGGATCATAGATACTTCCATGAGTTAAGACATGGAATGATATGGTGATTCACACTCATGTACAGGTGGCGGTATGCACCTTTAAAGTTGTTTGCAATACGCCAAAAATCGAAAGAAGAAGAAGAAGAAGAAGAAGAAGAAGAAGAAGAAGAAGAAGAAGAAGAAGAAGAAGAAGAAGAAGAAGAAGAAGAAGAAGACATTTTAGAAACCAGATCACATTGTTTGATCTAAAAATCGTGCGCTTCAAAAAAGGCAAGACAAAGAAAGCTTTAGACCTCTGGCAACAAGCAGGAGGTAGAGATTTCATCACCAGGTCTTTAATTTCTCATGGTTTTAGTGAAGTTAATGTTACAACTGAGCAGTGGTCCTCAGTTACACTTACAGTGTTTAAAAGTAATAAGAAAGAGCATCTTAAGTGGTTGAGGGTAATCTGGGGTGAAGACCGACGTGGAGTCCGGACTGAGGTGCTTCAAGCAGGTACTGTTAAAAAATAACTTTGATGAGCCCCAGAGCAGAGTCCTGCCTCTGATACCCGGCGGATAACCCGTAAAATAGTTGTGTAACGGGCAAAACATACATGTAGGCCTATATCCAGGGGTGCACATAACTGGTACGCAGGTACGCATGCGCGGCAACAATCTGAATTGCGTACGGTCACTTGTGTCACAAAGCGCATTTGCGTACCTACGTACTTGTGAAGCTTTTCCAGAAGGCGGTTAGATCACCGGACGACAGAGTCGGTCTCCGTGTGCACAGACAGGGCTGCTGTTAACGTCGGTCTGTACAACGGAATTGTGCCAAAACTACGCCAACCGGCTGCGGAGGGAGACCCCCCCCCCCCTTCACTGGAGAATTGCACTAAAACAGCTGATCACAACGTTCACGCTCTGTGGTCACGAAGTACTCCACTAGCCCCCCCCCAAAATTCACAACGGGTCGGGTCGTGGGTCTTATATCAACAGGTCGGGTCCAGATTTGACTTGAAGATAATTGCATGTAACGGTCGGTTCGCGGTAGCTACTAAGCTGCGAGGGTTCGGGTGGGTGCAGATTTGTAAAACTGGACCCATGCAGGACTCTGCCCCAGAGGCTTTTAAGTTGAAGCTTAACCCTTGTGAATCCATTTTTAAAAACGTTACTCTGAAAACACTAACGACAAAAATGTCCGCATCTAAAAATACTGTAATAAAGATATTATAGGCTATGTTAATATTTTTGTTCCACTTTCAATTACTTACATATTTTAACCAAATTCAGTGCTGATCATAATTATCAAATGTTCATTCATTTTTATTTTTGTCACTAGGGATTTGAAAGTCACTATTTTGATTACACATACACTTATTAAGAACATGTTTCCAAAAAAACTCAAATCTTTACCAAATGTCGTGCCATATTCTTAACACAATCAGAATGCTCACAAAATTAAACAGTGGCATGGATAATACATTTCCTTAGGGAGGCATAAGGGTTAATGTGCTTATTTAATTAAATACTGCATCACAGTAGGATGTTAACAGAATTTACTGTAATTGACCCAAGGATGGCAGATTGCTTAAAGTTGCATTGTAGTCTTACGATAAGAGATACAGTAATTAAATGAGATGTTTTACTTTTGTAATGTTTGTATTTAGGAAAATATGTCAGTGAAAGAGGGAGAGATGGACAGCACAGTATCAATAAACAGTCTTACAGCGCACCTACGGGTGAGGAAGACGAGGACACAAGTCAGGATGACAGGGAAATAAGTAACGCACAGCCACAGTCTGAGATAGACACAGAAGAGTCAGACCAACAAAGTACAGAGACAGCCACCGAAATGACAACAACAATGAACAGAAAGTGCAAAGCAGGGCCAAAAAAGTTCAAAATTGCCATGACAAGAAAACAATGGAACAAAATTAAACCTAAACATGGCAAAAAAAAACTCCGCCCCCCCTGGACTGATACATTATATCAAGAATTTTTGAAAAATAATCCATGCTGCACACTTGCTTTCAAATACCAGCATGTTAAGACAAATGATAGCCGTAAAAAGAATTCGCCATTTTTCTGTGCCTCTGCAAAATGCACATTTAATGGATGCAACGCTGTCTACAGTTTCTCAAAAAAGAACAGGCCAAAATCAACGGATAAAAAAAATATTTTTAAAGTCATGCGCATTGGTGAAGTTATACACCATAAAAATCAAAGGCGATTTAGACCAGCAAAATACACAAGAAGAGGAACAATTTCCAAAGCCTTAACCAGTGGTGTCAGTAATTATTATTACACTATGTTAAGACAGACACCAGAGGAAATAATGGCTGGTAACATAAGCAGAAGCCTCACCAAAGACGTGTTAAAGAAAATATCCTCTGAAGTGAAGAAAAGTGCAAGGCTCCACGATGACATGATGCTTGAACTCATGTTGACTCAAAAAATAATCAAAGAGAGCAGCAGTCATGCATCATCAAAAGGCTATCTTCAGCACCTACAAATTGATCCGTTTGCTGTACATTTATACACAGATGCTGGAATAAAGATATTGACTGAGCACTTGAAAAAGCCAACACCTACGACTCTCTACCTTGATGCCACAGGCAGCGTGATACAGAACATTCCTGATCAAAATAAGCGGGTCTTGTATTATGCTTTGGTTTTGCCCGGAATGGGTAAGGATAAGCCTCCCTTGCCTGTCACAGAACTGATCACCAACAGCCATTCCATTCCATCTATTTCCCATTGGCTCATGGAATTTAAAAGAAAGTTGTCTTACATAACAAAAAGAAAGATAGCACAGGTTGAGACAGATTATAGTTGGGCTCTGATAAACAGTGTGCTTCTGTCTTTTAACAGGGAAAATATGTCAGTGTACCTTGACAGAGCATTTGAGATAGTGTCTGGACAAACTGAACTGATTCCTAACTTCACTGTGCTGCATCTGTGCTCTGCTCATATCATGAAGGCTGTGTCACAAGCATTTGGGAAACAAACTGTAGACAGAGGCACACAGGAATATGCAACATTCTGTTTTGCGTACATCCTGAACTGCACAAGTATGCAGGAAGCCCTTGATGTTTTTTATCATATGTGTGTGCTTTTTGATGCAGAGGAGTACACTCATTCGGTGAAACAGAGCTAAATGTACCTCGACAAGTGTATTTTGCAAACTCGGGACTTGAAACTGGAGGAAAGTGGACATGTAATGGGAGAGGAGGAAAGCAAAATGGAAACAAATGCTCATAGCATTATTGGAAAGTCCCCTTTTACACAAGCTTTTCAAGTCAGGCGGGACCAAGCAGAGTGTGACATTCTCTCTGACGATGCTGTTCAGGTAAAAAACCACTACCTCTGTCCTGGTGTCATTGATGCACTGTTACAAAACTACATGGGGATCTTCCCATTGTGGAGTGGTTTGTTGCTTTGGGGTCTGTCACGACATAGAAAAGGTAGAGTCATAAAACCAGGGATACCAACTGCCATGTTGAGCTCTGGTTTGGGTTGGTCAAACACTCCATCCTTTTAAAAAAAAAAGTACCTGAGACCAGCTGAGTTTGTCTCCAAAATGTATGCCTCAATACAAGGAAGATATATAGAGCACATTGAGCAACACAATCTGCCAATGCATATTCTGGACAAAAACTTTGGACATCCTAGCAGGCCAGATGATGACCACGAGGAACAGTGGAACAAGCGGGAAAGTTCTGCTGGTCACACCAAGTCCAAGTCCAAGTACTTCAATCCACCAAAAACACTACCCAACCCCAAGAGCCCACCTGCCACAAAGGTGAAGAAAAGAAAAGTGGACCAACAGGAAAAAGACGCACAGGGAAATGTGAGTTTCTCTGACCCCCTAATCCCACCAGGAGCGTCTGCGCTGCGTTGCACTGCGTTGCGCTGCGGCTGCGGCGTTTTTAGCGATCGCGGCCACTCTAGTCAATGGGTGCTATTCCACCAGACCCGCTGCGCCGCGCTGCGCCGCGGCTCGAAGCGTCCCAGAAGCTCCTCGCCGCAAGGAATTTCTAAAATATAGGATGAATCCTATTTTTGACGCGGCGCAGCAACAACTGCGAGGCTGCACACACGACGCTCCGCTTCCGCAACGTTTTGAAACGCGCCTGGTGGGTTATGACGCAGGAGGAGGTCGCAGCGCGGCGCGGCCGCAGCGCAGACGCTTCCGGTGGGATCAGGGGGTGAGACTTACTATGTTCAAAGTGTGTAAATTGTTCTCCAGCATTTTAATTGTAACAATGGAATAAGTAAATATTGTCAGAAAGTAAAGCATGGACTAAATTGGTAAAGAGTGAGGTGAAGGACAAAGGACATGAAGTATTATAACCCAAGATGATTAGGTGCATGTTGTAGGGGGAGAATATGAAGATGAACAATGTAAATACAGCTTACAAACTTATAACGGAAACTATATTTCCAAATCAGACTTTAAACTGCAATTACAGTTTCTGTTCCTGAGCAGCCTGTTTAATGTCATTTAGTGAAAACTCTAAAAGGGACTGAGGTTAAATGCATAAACATGGACAGTTTAATTATATTTTGTGCATGTAGCTTTGATGGTGCATATACAAAAACAAGGCCTTCACCCAAACATTCAAGATTGTTAACCCTCTGGTGTCATTCAAATGCACTACCCTAATTAGTCATTCGGGACAAAAATGTCCAGAGTGATACCGGAGGGTTAAAAGATTCCTCAAGTGTCCATATTAAACAGACTGCATCTATTTCCCCTCAATCCTAACTTGCAGTTGACCTGGCTGTGGAAAAAAAAAGGACACAGAGGTGGTCGTGGCAGTGCTCCCCTCACAGATGAAAGGACACATCTTGCTTATCCGCCACTGTGAGCTATGCTCACTTCGACCCCACCAGTGGTTGACAGGGGAGGTACTACATGTTTCAAGTGTCTGAAGTTTCACTCTACACTGTGTTATTTTCTTTATCTAGCATTTAACGATTTCTCCCCAAAATGTCTAGATACTTTTGTCAGTCACAAGATTCTCAAAGTTGCAGGAAATGAAAGTTCAGTATAACTGGGAATATGCATTAATTGGCAAATTGTTATGATCTTTTTTGCCAGGTAATTGAAGGCGTGTTTCATGTTGCTGCCGACAAATTCGCCGTTCTGAACAAAATGTTAAATGCTAAATCACTACACAGCAGGTGTCATTTTGTTCGGGGACAGAACTCAGCTAACATCTCACAGTTTACCGAAGGTAATGTGTGTGGTCTGTGTATGTTTATGTGTGTGGTGTGTTGTGTTTGTGCATGGTGATGCTGTAGGGGGAAGTAGGTGTGGATTTGATTTGTGGGCTCACACTCACACATTAGGTACATGGAGTGAAGCATTGGCTGAGGTCTTAAATAGGAAATGAGCTGAGATTATTTTACTTTATCCTCTCTGAAACTATACTCATTAGTTAAATCACCTGATAAATCTACTTACTATTGAATTCCCATACCAACACTTGTTTTAAGAACAACAAATGAATGGCACAAGAACATCATTGTCAGACTAATGTTGTTGTTATTTTTACCTTAGCCTTCAAGTTTGTTTTAATCCTTTATTTGATGCCATTATAGGTCAACTTTGACAACTATGAAGCTGTCCTGTCCTTTGTACTTGTCAACAACAACCACTGGAAGTTGCTGGTTTGTAATTATTTTGTCATTGTATTATTTCTGTGAAAGCACAAGACTTACATAGTGAAGCCAAAAATCTTTTTTGATGAAAAGTGCTTTTACTTGTTTTGTTCTCTCACAGTACATTCATGCCAACACCAGCACCGTATTCCTGGTGGATCCAGCTCAAAGCATCAAAGAGCTTGATGACTCCGAACATGCTGCCAAAAGAATACAGTAAATCAAAATTCAATAGATATTTGAAAATTCAAGTAAAAACTATATTTAAACGTAAAAAATGTGTCACATTTAGTTACATTCATACTCACAAACAGCATTGAAAGCATTTTAAACAGTCTGATACAGTCTGTGTTCAGACAGTGATATATATAGCTGACCTGTGGCTGCCTCTTATATAAATAAATGGTCATATGGTGAATACAAACAGTATGAATTTCTGTTACATTATCTTTAGGAGCCACATAATTAGAAATGTAAAGTGTGTTAACATGATCCTTTCTCAGAGAGCACTTCAGGATGAGGAGGACACGCCACAGCATAACAGACTGTGGATGTTAAGTGGAAGGGAGGCGTTATGGGCCACCCACTTCAAACGGATGGATGTAGCTGTGGTGTCGTTGTTGTGAAGGTGAGCTGAAGAGATTCTGTTTTCATCCAGTTAACAAGCAGAGTTTTTAATGTGAAAGACAGTTTAATGCAAGGGCGGATTAAAAAAGCTGTCAAAAGTAGTTGTTGACCGATAAAGGTTTTTTAAATGCCGATGCTGATCCCCATAATATTTAGCAGGCAGGTTGGCCAATGGACAATATACAGTATATTGCCGATATCATGTTGTTGTTTATTGTATTTTTCACACAACAATTGGATTATGACACAACATTGCTGAACTTAAATTAACAGTTATTTAACACTAATGTAGTATTCACTTGAACACAGAAAGTTTAATTGACAAAACATATCTCAAAATTCCAATAATAGGACCGGTCTATATCAATACTCAAAAGTTTTGGGAGGCATTCTAGTCAAGGGTGGATGTCTTCTATAATGTGTCTCATGTTTTTGTCTGTATCTGTATTACTATACAATAAAGAAGAAAAACCCTCCATAACATAAGTGTTGTTTGTTTAGATGGCAAAGGCAGTCATGGAGTCCTTCCCTCTGATCCCGAATGTGAATTTCGAGTGTTCGAAGAAATACATGAAACGGGAGAGGAGAGAACTGGCTCTCGAAATCCTTGAGGCATCAGGTAAATAAATATGAATATATGTATATGTATATATGGGTGTCTGTATGTATATATATATATGTATGTATATGTATGTATGTGTATATAGAAGCTGACATACATGTATTGTTATCTTGTTTCAGTCTTTGATGAGCACACTTATTGTGCTATGTGTGCTGCCTTAAGGCCTCCAGGATCTCCCATCACAGACTGGGTGAGCTGTTGTGAAGAAAATGTGGAATTGTCATGTCTACATTTATGTATTCATTTATTTAACAGGGACAGTGCACATTAATTAACATTTCTGTAACTGTGCCAGAGTTAGCCAAGAGGCTATTTTTCATCTGTAGTCCCTGGACAGATTTTAAAAGTCAACCTCAAACACATAATTAATTTTAAACAACTAAATACAATACATTTAAAACATGCAACACACATTAATGGAATACTTAAATAAAAAAAATTAAAAGATAGAAACAATAAAAAAATAAATTAAAAACAAACAATAGAGCATGTTAAAACACAGGCAGTGAGTTTTAAGGAGCAGATGATTGTGTCAGCTGATTCCTCACTAACACTTGAGTATTAAGACAACTGAATGGTAATCTAGGTACAAACATATAAATACACTATTTCTTTCACTTCAACAGGTTCAGTGTGATGACTGTGAACGATGGTACCATGCCCAGTGCCTGGCAATGGACAGCAGAGACTTTAAAAAGGCAGAGACAGGATATTGGAATTGTCCTTTGTGCAAGTAATACTTGAAATGTGCTCAATGATGATGATTAGTAAAACATGTGTCCTGTGTAGCCTTGTTTGTATTACTTTCTGATCATTAATCACTGGGTCACATGACAGGGAAGCTCTAGGAAAAAAACCTGAATTTTTTAATAGAAATATTAATATTAAATAGAGGATGTAATATTATCCGATATAAAGAGCTGTTTCTATTGTGTACAGACTTGTATTTAATTCATAAAGTGATTTTGAGTCATTAGTTATTGAAGAAATAAGCTAATTTGCACATACAATTATTAATATAAAAATATTTAGAGTATTAAAATGCAATAAAAAGAGGTGTGTCCTATTCAGCCAGTGTAGTTATTTGACCCAGCACTGATTTTGAGTGATTAGGTCACATGACCTGGAAGGTATTGAAGAAATAAGCTAATTTTTCCATCAAAATATGAATATAAAATATTTAGAGTGTTAAAATACAATAAAAAGAGGTGTGTCCTATGCAGCCAGTGTAGTTATTTGACCCAACATTGATTTTGAGTGAATCGGTCACATGACCTGGAAGGTATTGAAGAAATAAGCAAATGTTTCCATCAAAAATATTAATAAAACGTATTTAAAGTATTACAATGCAATAAAAAGAGGTGTGTTCAATAAATGTATGCTCTAGAGTGAATTTGCTTCACATTCACACGATCGAGAAGCTGTCGATTTATTAAAAAGAACATTTTTCTTGTCTAAATGTAAAAGTCATTTGTTGATGGTCCCTAAGTGAAAGCCTCGTTTCGTGGAGAAGATTTCCCCGTCGTAATACAGCCAGCAGCAGGGGAAACTGACGCTGCTGGCGGGTCCGCGAATGTCCGTCGAATATCCAACCTAAAACTAAATTCACCGTGGTAAAATTGTTTGGCTGGCTGTTTAATCTATGTTCACACTGAGACAGTACAACACATAGAGAGAACAGTACACCTATTGTGTAAGTATACAAGCAGGTCACACAGTATGATCACAAATACATAAACTCTGTTAAAAATCTGTTTTTATTAAAAAGTACAGGCTGCATTATGTGTTCTCAGCCTTGGAGAAACTTGACATGTTTTGGTATGTGTGTGAACCTCTCTTTAGTGGTTCATTAATAAAACAGATATTTCAATGTGTGCCTACTTTGCTCATGTGCTGTTGAGGTTAATTTCAGTAGTTGTGTGCTATAATGTATTTACAAAGTGTGAAGAGGAGGCAACTTTAGAATAGGGAACCTGTGCAGGTCAATTAGAGTCAAACTACTAGCTTATTGGTTATGAACAAGACTTCACTTTAGAATAGGGAACATGTTCTTAGATATAAATACCTAATTTTGAGTTATTTAGAGTGAATTAACACTTATAGTTTCATGTCTTGTTACATAAGAATAGATCATATTTGTTAAGTGTTATTATGGGAGAATTACTATTCTTGTGGTACTACTGCCTTATTAGGCCCATATTGAGCAGAGCATATTAAGACCAAAACTCATGTACAACAACTTTCTTACTTGCAACAAATAAGCACTAATTAGAGGGTTATTGAGGAAAACTCTCAACTAATGGCTTATTACTTGTAGAATATGGTCATGTAGAATAAGGCATTAATAAGTGTTTTATAATGACTAACAAAGAGCCAATATACTGCTAATATGCATGTTAATTAACAACTAGTTGATGGTTAATTTGTGTACCTTAATATAAAGTGTTACCGACTTTTTTTGTTATCATTGATGCGTAAATGTGATAATTACCTTAATGATAAAGCTGGTAAATGTGATGCTCATTTAAACTGTATATACTGCTGAGTAGCTCACCTTCAACAATATATCGTAAAAGGATTTGTTGATTATTTTCTGAATTATGAATCTTAATCTGCACAGTAACTACTGTGGTTGAAAAAATGCAAATATTTATTTCTGAGATGTAGGGGAGTAGAAATCAAGAGAAGCCTGAAATGAAGTACCCAAGTGAAATCAAAGTACCTCAAAATGGTACTACATAAATTAGTCAAGAGAAATCACATTAAATACAATGTAATAATAAGATACAAAAATACAATATTCACTCACATTTGATAAAACATTACAATATGTACTTATACAATATTCATCTTGTAAAATAAGTTAAATAAAAACTCAAATGATTGTATTATTGAATTACTCTTTACACCTCATTCATTTGATTTTTGATGGATTGATAATAACCCTTTTGTATTCATACATTATTTCCTTTGTATAATTCATTTCAAGTACTTATACCTATCATAGTTCCACATTAAATCTTTTTTTTTTTAATGTATTAGTCTGCATTTCGCTTGCTCCATGGTGACAAACTGCATCTTTGAAGTATTGCATTTAATTAATACAACTTCAGTTTAATAAAGTGTAAACATTTGTTAAACACAGCTAAGTAAACTTTGTTCTCACGGTCACTCTGAGGCGATCCTGTTCCCACACCCCTACGTTCTCCGCCCAACATCCCATGATCCCCAAACTGTATGTGATGCCATGGAAACAGGACATGAAGAACCAAAGGCTCTTGATGAAGGTAGATACCAGAGAGGGAATCAAACACACCTCACTGTAAAAGAGGACCTATTGTACTTTTGGGGGGTTCTCCCTTTCCTGTAGTGTTATACGGTTTTTTGTGCATGTAAAGGCCCTGTGTTCCCTCCAGAGGGAGTTTCTTGAAACACCTCCATTGGACTCCTTTGTTTACTTCCGCGACATAGTGACATCACTATGTAACACTTGCGCTTCTATTTGCTAGAGCTCTAACCCATACGTGATAGGCTAAAGGGCGGGACATCTCTAAGCTGTTGACCTATCACAACAGAGCTGGCCAGCTAACCAATCAGAGCAGACTGGGCTCTGGTTTCAGACAGAGGGTGAAAAGAGGTGTTGCAGCACAGGCAGTAGGAGAAAAATAAAGAGCTTTTTGAACATTAAAGCATGGAGACATGTCCCAGTAGAGACACTACATACAGATATTATCCTGGAATTGAGCATAATAGAGAACCGCAGTGACGCATCCTAAAACCCGGAAGTAAACTTCTTCGTGAAAAACGCAATGCAAATTCTCCATAGGATTTTGGAAAATAGCTCGAAATAAGGTCTGTGGTTGAAACACATTTAAGAGAGGGATCACGTTTTGTTCAGCCGGATAATCTCCACATGTCTATCCTACTTTTATAATTTTTGAATCATAAATCTAGTCGCCAGAAGCAAAATGCTAACGTTATGCTATAAACGAACTACAAGCTAGTACAGCAGCAGGGTCGCACGACTTCAACGTCACGCCAACTTTAAATCGTTTCACCTGACTTGCACTGAAACTGCACTTTGAACACTTTAAATATATTATTAACATTTTAAACTGTATACCCCGGTTATCTAGGCAATTGTTTTGTTTGTTTAATGTATACCACGTTTATCTAGGCCCTTTTTGTTTTGTTTTATGTATACATGTCACACTGTGGGAAACGATATTTCTGGATGTATAACACATGTAGAATTTTTGACAATAAAGCTGACTTTGACTTTCGCGCGCTTGCATATTTTAACAAAGCTTTTCATTTTAGCCACACTGAATTTAACTAGAAGTCATGGCTGTCAATGACCAGTCTGATATCGTTTTACAAAGATGACAAGAAGAGTGTAGATAGAGGAGAGAACCACTACAAGTCAGGACACGTACAGCAGTGCAGCCTAGATGAAGGTGTGCTTACCGGTGTTGTCAGGGCTAGCATGAGGGACAAGGTTTATAGTGTCGGTGAGTAGTGATAGCAAGAGTACCGTTAACCTAGAGTTAATTTATTCACATTAGTGACATTAATTCCCATCAACAAATCCATTTTATGTGTCACATGAAATCTTTATTACAAATATTACACACCAGAAAATACAGAAATATCCATGAAATAAACATACAGTAGGCTATAAACAATTAAAGGGATAATTGGGAAGGCATTACAAATGTAAATATATTTTAAATAATAAAACAATCCCACCACCACAGGTATCTACAGGAGAAGAGGGAATTCTCTCCACAAAATGTGAATGCCCACGTGGAGAATGGAAATGCAGTCATGCGGCTGCATTAGCCATCTTTGCCATCCACAATTTCAACTGCACTGACACCCCCTGTCAGTGGAAGAAGCCAAAGGCAACTAAACGTACACATTCAGTGGAGGAGCTATTTCCTCCAACCAATAACTCATTCAACCCGCTGACAAGAGAGCCCACCTCCGAAGATCGTGACTGGCTGAGGGACAGACTCGGGGGCAGGTTCTCAGGAATTTCTTGGCTTCTCTCCCCCGAGCCAGAAGAGGAACACTACAGCTTGGAAACACTTACTGTTCCTGAAATTATCAAATCTGTTGGGCATCAGGGGCGTGAGGCAATTGTGGCAAGCATGGCATTGTCTGAGGAGCAACAGAGGGCAATTCAGGTGGCTACCACTGGTCAGCGAACCAACCCAAACTGGCATTTGTTCAGGAAAGGAAGGTTGACTGCCAGCAACTTTGGAGCTGTCCTGAGGTCAAAGCGTGTGACTGCTTCCCTTATTGCCAGGGTGCTAGGGCAACAACAGGCCCTTGATGGTGTTTTGTCTGTACAGTGGGGGACTATGAATGAATGTGAGGGTGTCAGGGCATTCACCACTGCAACCCAGATGCAGGTCCATGAGTCAGGTTTGTGGCTCTCCCAATCAGGATTGTTGGGGGCATCTCCAGATGGTCTGGAGGTAAAGTGTCCCTACGGAGCCAGGGAAATGACAATTAGTGAAGCATTGCAAATCAAGGGCTTCTGTGTCAGTAAGGAAGGAGCAGGGTTGGGAGGGTTACTTTGTAAATGTAATCAGTTACTGATTACTGATTACATGGCTCTGAAAGTAATCCGAATACAGTTACAGTTACGTGTCTTAAAAAAGTAACGTAATCAGATTACTTTTAGATTACTTTTGGATTACTTTCTTTTTCCATCACAGATGGGTATGTTTTGGTGTACAGGAGACACAAAAAGCAAAAGGAATGTGTTTTTACTGTTTTAATGGCTTATCAAGAGCACAACTGAAACACAACATCTGAAACGATGTAACAACATAATTAACTTTTTGGGGATGCAGTTTGGGATGTGAGGAGTGAGGGACACGGCTTAGAACGAGCGTGTCGCCTTCTGTCCTGCCAGTGTTGGCAGGACATGAATTAAAATGTCAAACTCGGACTTCATTTTAAGGACATTACGGCCAGGGGTGTAGAGCTATATTTGTTTAAGCACCGGATTGGCAAAACAGGAGAGTGTGTGCACCAGTCTGCCTTGATCTATGAATTAATGTCCGTGACTCTCACATTATCTGCTGCCCGCAGCTGTTTTATAGAAGGAACACCTCCTTCACTTCATGAAATCTCTGCAGCACCAGGAGGCAGCGGGAGGGTTAACTCAGCCTCTGAGAAGACGAGCACGCAGTGCCTTTCACGCACCGCCTTCACTGTGTTTACCTTCAGAAATAATCATTAGTAAGGCTAAAGAAAGAGCGACCGCAGGCTGATGTGTTTTAACCACACACACGCGATTTAAACGCAGACTTGTGTTCCTCCATGTTTCGCTGTTATTGTTTCACTGAGCGGACCCGCGATTTTTTTTAAAACGCTTTTTTGGTCCATCTGCGGCGGTAATAGGTTTTGTGGGCTGTGATGATTCGGCTGTACCTTTAGTAATGAATATTAAATGTTGTGAGGAAATCTTTCCACCAATAATTCCAATAAGTAATCCAAAATGTATTCACTTCAGGTTTACGAAAGTAACTGTAATCAGATTACTCGTTTTTCAAATGTAACGCGAGCTGAATACAGTTACTTGATTTTTGTATTCTGATTACGTAACGCCGTTACATGTATTCCGTTACAACCCAACCCTGGGAAGGAGTAACATTCAGCCTGCGTGAGGAGCACCCTTACTGGCACCAAGTGCAAGGTCAGCTTCAGCTCACTGCAAGAAAGAAGAAGAAATTGTGAATCGTTTTTAATTTACATTTACTCGCCTTTGCAATGTTGTGGTTGTTAGAGTGTTAGGTTTCCTGTTAGCTCGTCTGTTGGGAAGATATAAAATATTAGTTTCATGGAAGTCACACTGTCACATATAAGAGCATTAAGACATACAGTACATAGGCTAAAACAAAAACATCTAAAGATATAACCTTGCACTTTGATAAGTCTCGTGAACATTTTCACTATTTTGACATTTTTATAGATCAAAATTGAACTAAAGAAATAAAGGTAGATTAATCCATATTGAAAATAGGTGTCAGCTGCTACACTAATTATAATAGTTATATTTCTTAATTAAGATAAGATATTACTGTATTGATCCCCATTTGGGAAATGTTTGTGTTGCAGCAGCATAAAAAGAAAATATAAGTTATTATATATACAAAAGTATGTGAGGGATGGAATATTAAATTGAATATAAATGTAAAATGTACATGTGATTTTACGTCCAAGAGAAGCTATGGAGCAGAGAGTTCTCTGCCAGCCAGAGGTGATTTGTTATTAGTTCAATATGTCAAACTGATTTCCCTGACTACAATCTTTAGTTACATGGTGAAACGTTATGCTGCTTGTACTAATTAGACTTATCATATAAGCCACACAGGTTTTAATAGGATGTATTCATTATCTTTACTTATGTTGCGGTCTTTTCAGCAGCGCCATCTCTAAAACGGCGATACAGTCACTACCCATCATTTACATTTCACCGTGACATGGACAAAAATGTAACGTCAGCTTACCTCATGGCACGAATCCAGACTCTCCTTTGGAAAATATTGGCCGGGAAACGATAGAACGAGCACGTTTCATGCGAAGACCTGTGGCTGCAACCCGGAGCAAAGCAACAAACCATTGCGTAGCTAACTAGTAGCGCTAGCTTTAGCTAACGTTAGCCAACGAAACGAACTGCCGAGTAAAATTGGAAAACACTGGTAATTAATTATTCTATAATTTGTAAAACTACGGTGTTAAAAATGACAATTTCAAAAATACAGATTCTAATGGTCAGATATAGATATACAGATACTAAAGATAGGCAGGTACTTGCTTTCAAGCAGAACACAGGGGAAAACAAACTTAGCGGGAGTGTTTACGTGTTCGGCGTAATGACGTACAACGGCCTCGACAATTTCTGTAGTCCTATTCAGCCACTCGGTAACAACCATCGTTTTTCAGACACGTAAACTCTTCAGAAATCACCAGTGGGGTCACTGCTGATGTATTTAATGTCGTAGAACAAAACGTGATTTATCTCTTAAATTTGTGTCAACCACAGACCTTATTTCGAGCTATTTTCCAAAACCCTATGGAGAAAATGCATTGCTTTTTGACGAAGGAACCGGAAGTGCTAAAAATGCTAACTTACTTCCGGGTTTTAGGACGCGTCACTGCGGTTCTCTATAGGGCCCCTTTAACTGTCCACTCATATTTACTGTGTGTGTGTGTGTGTGTGTGTGTGTGTGTGTGTGTGTGTGTGTGTGTGTGTGTGTGTGTGTGTGTGTGTGTGTGTGTGTGTGTGTGTGTGTGTCAGAACGCAGCTCTTACAAAGGTCCCTGTGGTTCCTCTTGAGGAGTCTTTATGGTTTTGTGGTCGGGAACGTCTCTGCCACAGTCAGGAATCCCCCTCCTCCTCCTTTGCTCTGCTCACCCAATCAGGACAGACAGCTCATCACTCCTCCCACTTCTCCAGGTAAAACACTTCAGACAGGAAACGAAAAACAGGTGTTGTTTCTACATTTTCAGGTAAATGTTTGATGATTTTCTGACATCTTTTTACTCTGCTGCAGATACAACAGCTCTGTGGTGACCACCAGGGGCCTCTACCAAACATGAAGGCATATCACACACATGAATAAACACATCTGCACAGCTTAACTTTTACTATTGCTTTTACAGATATAGGAAATTGAAATGGTCCCTTAGTTCAGTTTTCAAAAGAAGAATCAATCCCAGTTTAGATTTGAAAAAGAAAAAAACCAGGATGCCTCACAAAATACAAACATTTATTTAGTTTTTTTCCGCATGGTTTAAACCAGCTAGAACCAGATAGAAGAGTTGCGACAACGGAAGTCCAAAATGCTTGATCGTCACGTGGTTCAGGGAGACTCAATAGTTCCCAGGAAGTTCGTGGCGGGCCATTTGAATCACGATTTGAATGCATTAATACCAGGATAGAAATGCAATTTTTGGTAATTAGTGGTCAATAAAGGTTTTGATTTGCAATATTTATACAACATATCGATATGTGTATGTAGTCACATCAATGTTTTTGCTAATATTTGAGGATTAAGATAAAATAAGAAGTACTTTATTGATACCAATTGGGGAAATGTTTATGCTGCAGCAGCAAAAGACAAGGCATTGTACATTAGACAGTTAAAAGACTAGAATTAAACAATCGAAAATGTAAACATCTTAAATAAAAATAAAATAGCATTACAAAAAGTAGAAAAATATACAGTGTGAACAGCTATCTTACCTGTTAACATATACATGTTAGGCTAACGTTGCCTTGGTTAAAGAGCCTATTGTTTATTGCTTTGAATTCTTTAAAACAATATTATCTTCTTAAACTTGTATGGTAGTCAGGAGCATCACATCCTAATGTTTATTGATATATTTAGAGGGAGGGAAGGAAGGTTTCAAAATTCTGATTAGATACATTTCTACCATTTCTTTAATTCATGGTGGTTTCAGTCATCCCATGGTAATTGAGGACATAAGTAATCTAAATGACTAATGTAATCTTTATGACTTTCAGAAAGGACAGGAGACCGACAAGTGACTATCAAAGGACTAGCAGCAGCATGATGATGATGATGATGATGATGTTAAATGTGTTGTTTTAGGAACATCCATTGTAAATAAATGGAATTCAATAAACATTGAATAGCATATCATGCAGTTTGTCTGTGCCTTTTCCTCTGTTGTCCTGGCATATAGTCTCCCCCATGGTTTGCTGTGCTGCCTAAGGATGCTCCAATCGCTCAGAGAAAGGAGTACACATGTAAGGTTTCCCCACTGACACAGAGAGGAAGAAAGAATGGCTGGCTCAAGTCAGAAGGAGCAATTTAACTATCACAAAAGACAACAACAGCAACAACAACATATGTGAGGTAATCATATTTTTCACAAAACGAAGACCACACCATTGGGAAGCTTAACGTCTGTTTAATCAAAATAAGGAACAGGGAGAGGCTTGCAAAACTCTGGGAGTTGAGACTCAGGTGCAGGGTGAGGGTCTCATTGCAGGTCTTCAGGCTCCATTGAATCCCCCTGGGGTTCTTGTGCTGAGAGAGGGAGACAGGAGAAAGGGTTAGATACATCTAGCAACCTATAGGATGGGAAATTGCTGACCTATTTTAAACATACTTTGTGTTTTCACTCTCACTTAAGTCCCTCTCCCTTTGCCATCAATCCAAAATCAGCTGAGCTGCAACATAATACAGACAGGTAATAATCAACAGAATCACAAGGACATTATATGGCTCTGCTAAAAACACTCACCCATAAATTACGTTTTTGTTTACTGTTTGGAAGTCTCCACTCTAAATCCATATCAATAGCGATGTATCACAAAAATAGCTCTCTTCCTTATTATTGTGTAACGTGAACTATATTATACTAGCTTGAACTCCAAAATGGATATTCTTTCACACACAGTGACGTCACGAGCTACCCACAATGCAACACGCGCCATATAAATATATATAAATGCGCCATTTTCCTGGAGGTGCTAATATCCTGGAAGTGCAAATATAAACAGCTAGCTAACTAGCCAGGCGGAGCACACTAGGTTTTTTTTTTAATTAACGACCGAAGAAATCGCTGCATGTCTTCGGATTACATCTCTGGACTTGAGGGGTGTGCTTTAGGTCGTTACCAGCATAAACTAGAGCTGTGTGGGTTGTTACAGACTGCCTGCAGATGTATGGAAAAACGACAGTGGCCTTCGTCGATTTTGGCTGCATCTACGTCTATCTTCTGGAAACACCAGGTGAATACCCCACTTGTCACAATAATATTATCATGCCATTGCATATATGTGGTATTTTAGAGTTGACTAGATATTGATTAAGGCAATAGACTATGATATTCAGTACAGGAAGCTTAGCAACACCTAGACGGTGTACGGCTGCTTGCACCTCGCGTAAAACGGCGCAGACCGGAAGTACGGTGTCGCGCTCGGCCCAATACCCGTATGTGTGTGTGAAAGAATCCTCATTTCACCACCTCCACCCACTACAATCACACGCCCCAATATTATATTTAACTAATATTTAACTCCCTCCACCCCGGATAAAAGCACGTTAAGAAGCCCCTTTTCTCTAATTCCACAACGTTGGGTTGAAATAACATTAAGAGAACAGATTAATAGGCTGTTCGTGGTTAACGTGTGTTGCTAACGTTATCCGGAATCCTAGCCTAATCTGTTATCTGTAAACGTTCCCTAAATCTACTGATTTAGGGATAATCTTCACGGAATCCACTAACATCCTTTAATACACATGTTAATTTGACTCAGATGTTCTGATAATATCCGCAATATACATCTTTAAACGTCTTTTTACCTTTCAAAGTCCAACACGAACGATCTATTATGCTGCAACTCTACTGTGCTGCTAGCCGCAGATAGCCCCTCAAGTCAGCGGCAAGCTAACTTCTGGGGAACTATTGAGAGCTCCACGATCCGCCATTGCTGTAAAAAAACTGGTCCATTGGAGTGAACGGAGATGTCGTAACTCTTCTATCTATATGGCCCTGGTTTAAACCATTGAAGAAATACATACTTTTGGGTATTTTTCGGAATGTCTTGTCTTACGTATAGGTCTTTGTATTGTATCATCTATTGACTGTTGAAAGGAAATATGAAAATGTGAAAAATGTTGAAGTATAAATTACGGAGAACAAAAAGGAACACTGAGAAGTTTTGTAAAGTATCATGGCCATTAGAAAATGCATACTTTATATAGATCTACATACAGTACATCTAATAATAAAAACATAATCTAAATAAATAGATGAATGACATAACCTGATGAATGAGACACATGTGCATGTTCAGAAGTACACAGGCACTATATTGAGAAAGTTGTGACAAAAGCATGATTACATATGAACTTTATTCCACTTATCCACTTGTAAGTCTATTAAGACCTATATATCTAATATATTCCACCTGCATCAGGAATTAGCACTTATATGTCAAGTCCAGCGACGTATTCCTACTGTAGTTAATAATATTTTCGCGGACTATTTATTTCTGACCAACAATGTCATTGGGTGGCAGTAGCTCAGTCAGAAGGGAACACAACCTCAACTTCTCCAGGAGGCTAAAATATGTTACAGCAAAAGTTGCATAGCAGGTAAAAAAATACATGCAATAATACAGAATGAGCTAACATGTGAATTTATAGAAGAAAAGCACATTAGTTATACTAGAATGAAAATAAAGACAAAATAAGTAGGTAAGTATACAACCATGGCTAAAAATGATGAGCAGCAACTTCAGAACTTAGTGACATATGCAATGAAAGTACAAAAATAAATGCATGTTGTTGTGCATCTGTGCACCGTGTATAGGTCCTGTTGTGTATTACAACTAAGAAGAATGTATAAGAAAAACAGAGTGAAACGGACCTTAAAAAAGTATGTCTTGTTTTTGTTCTTGTTCTTGTTAATGTTCTTCTTCTTGTTAATCTTCTTCTTCTTCTTCTTCTTCTTCTTCTTCTTCTTCTTCTTCTTCTTCTTCTTCTTCTTCTTCTTCTTCTTCATCTTCTTCTTCTTCTTCTTCTTCTTCTTCTTCTTCTTCTTCTTCTTCTTCTTCTTCTTCTTCTTCTTCTTCTTCTTCTTCTTCTTCTTCTTCTTCTTCTTCTTCTTCTTCTTCATGAGAGTAGTTTAACACCCATTAATCACAGGAGCTTCAGCACCACAGATAGAGCTGCTGCTGGGTCAGGGCTGAACCTTCCCACTGCACAGTGACTCTTTATTTAGTTTGTTGTGTTGTTGTAGGTTAATACCTCTTTTTGTTGTGTTGAAAACATGAATTACTCGTTAATTAATCATTTAAGTGAAAATGTCATTCATCAAATTGCATGTATAAGTGATAAATGTATTAATGTATTTATATGTCTATTTTTTCCGGTTGTGTATTTTCAAATTCTAGCGTACTCGAGCTGGTTTCTCCAAAATGACCTACCCCACCTTTAAGTAAATACTGTGTCACATCTAGGGTTGGGTATCGTTTGAATTTCCACGATTCCGATTCCGATTCTACTTTTCGATTCCGGTTCTTAACAGTTCTCAATTCCGATTCTTTGAGGGGCAGGGTAAAAAAATGATACATGCTTCTTCCACCAAAAAAATTAAATTTATTCGAGAAACTTTTACACAGGTTAGTTTACAGTAATATTCACATGAATCAGTCTGTTTATATTCACTGCTATGTAACTGTAACCTGAGAACCACTGAAGCTACAACAGTGCAACAGTCCAACTTTTAAAGAACAGTTCTTGTTGAGAAAAACAAGCATATCTGCCTTCTCAGGCATACCGGGAAGAAATGTTTGAACATTTTGAAGTAAAATGCTTCAATCTGGTGCACTTTAAGCAGAATTACGAGAGACTAGTACAACTCTAAACACCCATATGAAAAAGTCGGTTTACATTTTAATAATTAAATAAGTATGTGAACATAACCAATAACCTACCATAGCCAATAACAAATACATGTAACGTATTTTATTTGTGTTGTTCATTCATATCTTATTTTACTATTTTATTTATGCATATTTTTGTATCTCTCCAGTTTAAAACGATATGTCTGGTTTACTGTCCTATTGTTAGGATCTGTCTGTGTTGTTGTTTTGTCTTGTCTTTTTCTATCTTTGGTTTCCTGTGTTATTTTGTAAAGTGTTCACCCCCGTTTCCTGCCTGTTGCTTTTTGTCTGTTTCCCTCCCTGATTACCCGATTGTGTTCACCTGGTGCCTCTGTTTTCTCCTCCCTCCTCACCTGTCTCGTGTTGGTTTGATTAGTCCTGGGTGTATTTAAGTTCTGGGTTTTCTGTCTCTCTT